ACCCTCCTGCAAATTACACTACAGTTTTGTTGGGGTGAAGATCTGGCAGACAATCTGTAATGCTGGAGGTACTGTAGCTCTCTAGAGGACATATGCTCAGGGATAAACGTGTGAAAAAGCAGCTTTTAGAGCAATACTTTCTTTACCACCATCTTCACCTTGCTATGAGTACGTTCATAACAGAACCTTAGATTCCCAGTAATTCATTCTCACCATACAGTCCTCCTGAAGCCACAACAGACTGCAACATAAACAGCAAGAAGGCACGTTCAGGCAACGAGTTTGCAGCAACAGAAAAAGCTCTTGTGCTTCTCATTCTGTGAAGTGTCTTTGTAATATGATACACATCAACTACAGAGTAAAAATGTAGAACCATCAACCTCACAGGTCAGTGGACATTTTTCAGAAGCAATCCTGTCTTTACAGTTGCTTATCATCTTTTCAACACAGAATCAACCCTTACTAACTCCAACAGCTTTGTCAGTGACAAACATTTAATTTACAAAGCAAGAACTGAAATTATTTGACAACAAAACACTACATTCTCTCCCCCCCCGCCCCCTTTTTTGTCTCAGGTTTTGGGGTTTTTGTAAAGCATCTAAAATGACCAAGAGGACATACTATGGTAATTCAGAAGACACTGGTGGGTTCAGAGGCTTTTGGATCAATTTCAGACCAATACAGCTGTGCTATCTGACACACTATTATTCTCTCTGAAGACCGCTGATCCTCTCTGGCTTGCTACTTTGCTCTGGTAAGCAATGTACATTCCCAATTACTGTGACAAGGTCTGTAGAAAGACAAGGTCTTTCAGTAGGTCAGCTGACAGAGACAGAAAAGACAGACAACTCTAAAACACACAATTTAACCTTCAAATCCTTAAGATTACTGCTGTAAGTGACGAATCCATAGCTTGTCTTCATCCTCTTTTTATGAGAGAGGATTAACCCAAGTGAGCTCTCACTTGCCCTGTAAAACACTGACTGAGATTTGGAAGCCACCAACAAAAAAACACATACATCATGCTGTACTGAAAGACTAAAATATCTGAATGAGAGAAATTAATGCAGCCAAATGACACTTGGCATCATTTGCCTCAGTAAACTTCGTAAAACATGTTTCCTGTTCACAGTCACTTTTTTTTTTTTTTTTTTTTGCTAGAAGGAAGACTAGTGTAGAGAAGATAGAAATACAAGAGAAAGAAAAATTGGAAAATCCTGGGTTTTTTTTCTTTTAGCCCTTTCTGCATAATCCCGTTCTGGTATTGACTATCCACAGACTGTTAAAGCAGCCAGATTTCAACAGAAAACATACCACTGCCCAGCTTCAGCTCCTCCCTTAACAGTCTGGAAAATACTCTTTCTAACGAGAGTTCTAAAGAGAATACAAAATAATCCTTAAAGTACTAAACAACCATGCTGCATTAAAAGCGGCAAGCCATCCTCTACGTAGTGTTTGTCTTGAGTGTCCTTCACCATGCAATCCTATTCTGGCTGCTCCTGTCAGCAGTTAGCCACTCACCTCACAAGAGCATTGGCAAATAATCCTCTGGAATTCAGTTCAGTTTCAACTGTTTGCTATCCACATCACTTCAATGCACTGATGGCTCTGAAGCAAAGCACTTCCCACATGAGGTTAAAGCCATAGTTTCAACTGTTTGCTACCCACATCACTTCAATGCACTAATGTTTCCGAATCAAAGCACTTCCCACACGAGGTTAAAGCCATGTTTCATTCTCATGAGTCTAAGACCTCAGAGTATAACATCAAAAACACCTCAGTAACCGATGGCCACGATCTTGTAAACCATTACTTGTCCTTGCTTACATGAAATGAGAGGCTGGTTTTCTTTGGGTGTTTTGTAATTTTAAGGTGAAGTTTACAGAAGAGTAGGATGAGGTAATAATAGAAAAAAAAACACAACAGAACACCACCATCACAAAAACAAACAACCAACAAAGTAGTGATGTACCTTTTCTTCTCATCTCTCCCTTCACTATCTGCCTCCAGGAATTAACTCTTTCAGATGTGATATTCGGAAAACAAATTAACAAGCTTTCACCTCTACTATTTAATTTATGGATAGAAAAGAAGCAGCCCCACCACAAGTGACAGCATTAAGTTTCCTTCACCAAGGTGGGGAGACAAATTGTCCTTTTTGGTAAAGCAGAAACGTTCACATCATTCTTCCGAAAAAGGCGTAAAACTCATAACAGACCACAAACTGGAAATGAGCAGTTTGGACTACGTAAACAGTAACACTGCTTGTGAGACCTCTGAAATAATTCTTCTGTTCAGTTCAGCTCTGGCAAGGCCTAAATCTGAGTATGGCATCCTGCTTTTTGATATCATGCTTCAAGACAGATGTGACCAGCTGGAAAGACTCCACAAGACAGCAATGAGAATGATCAGATGTCTGGAAATGCATTCTATATGGGAAGATTAAAGCCACTGGGGTTGTTTAGTCTCAAGAAGGGGTCTAGGAGGAGACAAGATCAGAGTTGTCAAGTATGTTGTATAGTGTCATAGGAGAACAACAGTTTGACTGGAATACCACGTGAAGTAAGTAACACGTATAGGAAAATATGATTGTTTTCTAATTACTAATTTATAAATGCAGTTTGAAAATATTTTTTATGTCATGGCTTTGAAGAATTTACTGACAGCTAAAGTAGCATCAAGAGAGGTATCAGAACAATCTGTTTCACTGCTGTCTACATATGGATACATACATACATGGATACTGAACAGCCGTGACAACAGATTCAATTCTGTTATGTTGGCAACAGGCACAAGGCCAGGACAAGAGAAAAACTGAAACCTGGAAGAGCACGATCAAATACTAGGTATCCATAAACCCAAAAGAACTCGTACATGAAACATAACAGAGAACATAGTAATTTTCATTATTTCACACTGATAGGATGCTAATGTGAAAATGGTATCTCCAAGCCCTCCTCTCCATGTGACTCTTCTGGCACATGGCACATCAAGAAAGCTTGAAATCGTCTGTACGCTAATCCTGGATCTTAGTCTTGCCTTTTTTCACTACCTTTAAGGGTTTCAATTCTCAAGTAACATAGATGCTCTCTCAGTTTCAAATTAGCATGCATTCATTTATTCCTGCACTGTAATTCATTGTGGTGTCCTTGCACAACAACAACAAAAAAAAAAAGACTATACAGGTGCACTTGTCAGGTGGCTCTGCATGTAGGCAGGAATTCAGCTGCAAGCCCTCACTGCCCCAAAATGGAAGGATAGGCAAAACCAAAGCACAAAAAACACAGACAAAAAAAAGACTAGTTTCAGATAATGAAGGAATCTAGCAGAAGGGAATAAAGGGAAGGGAAGAAGGCTGCATATTCTAAGCAACCTTTCCCATTACATTAAAATTAGTTTATTCTGGTATCTCTTCTCGTTACTAACTGGAGGTGAGGTATTAGACTGCCCATGTAGAATATTTCCAAACTCTAATGAATTCAATATTGGCTTCTTTTGGGGCTTCCCTATATTTTTATATATATCTATATAAAAATATAATTTTATATATATTTATAGATAATATATATTTATATATATAAATAATATACAAATATTGGGATATATTATATATAAAAATATAATATATCCCTATATTTAACTCAAAAGGCACCTATAATGCATCCCTAAAGCACACACAGAACTAACTAGCCTTAACCAGAACTTTATTGGTCTGCCAGCAGCCCTGAGTTCAGCTATTTGAACAGACAGCCTTTGTGTATTTCCATATGGTATTTTGCAGGCTTACCAGCTGAGCACCAAACCAACTAGACACCACATAGTTGTGGTAACCACAGACCCCAGCCCACACATACAAGACCTGCAGAGAAGCAGAAAGTATCAGTTACCTACCAGTGAGCACCATGCTAACAACAGCTACAGAGCTCCTACACAGTCCAGTGAATAAAGCAAGTTCACATCTCTATTAAAAATAACTAAATAATTTAGATATACCCACATTCTTCCTACTACTATCATAAATGCACTTTCCTGCAAAAACATTCCGGCCTTTGTGAGCTCATGCAATTGAAACAGAGGAGGAACCTGGCCCAAGTTTGAGTATTCAAATTACAATCATTAAAAAAAAAAAAAGGATAAAGTCATATCATGTCAAATTCACATCGCTGTCCTACTGTTCCATCAGTTTAGTAGTGGAGGCATCAGGGAATGAAAGGGTAAAGCAGGAGCTACATATTCATCTACATACTGTAGAGGAAAACATCACTAGCAACCACAGCTTAGCTAGTTGCAAATAACTTCAGTCAGCGCTTCAAAGATATTCCTTTCAAAATGCGTCGGTTTCCCCCCAAGAAAATTTTGCACAGCCAGCTGCTTAAAGGTACGGAATAAAGAAACACCAGCTAAGAGCAAATTAAAAAGTTAACCACAACAATAGGTACATCAGCCACTCCTGTAAGGTATACAGGAAATTATGTACACAAAGTAAAGCAGAAGTCAGGCAGAACAATATGCCTGGTTCGGGGTTCATGGCAAGAAAAACGAAAACAGTCTCAGATATAAAAGGTCCACTTCACAGTAACACAGTGGGGGGAGTTGTTTTGGGTTTAAGAGTGCCGTTAGAAATACTGCATCTAGATCAGGATGGGCAGGGAGTGAACACCACGCGTTATCCGCGTATCACGCTACAGATCTGTCATTCACAGAGATCCTCCATAATCTACAGCCTGCCATTAGCTCTCACAAGAGGATTAGCGTAGTTTAGGTGCTTGACCATCACTTCCGTCTGCATTGAAGAGTTTGCTTTGGAGCAACGGTATCCGAAGGTGACACGCTAGAAAAAAGGTTCCTTAAAATACACCCCTTCCATGCACATACACACCCCCCCCCAAGCCCTCACTACCAGCAGCCAGAACGGGCGAGAGTCAAGGGGAGCAGAAACCTCACCGCTCCCGTCTGTGGCCGACAGAGGCGAACGCCGTCGCACCCCCGGCCCCGCGCACCTCTTCATCCCGCTCCTCTAACGAGGCATCCTCCTCCTCCGCCCGCCCGCCGCAGCTCGCCCGCTCCTCGCCCGGGAGCCGCCGCCGCCGCCCCGTCGCCGCCGCCCGGCAGGCGCCGAGCTCTCCCTCCTCGGAGAGAGTTTCCGAGCCGGAGGAGGAGCTGGAGCAAGAGGAGCCGACGTGTCCGGCGCCCCGCGGTCGCTCCGGAGCCGACGAAACTTTCTCCGCCATAGCCGGAGGCTCAGAGCCGCGCCGGCCACATGCCCCACAGTCGGCAGCCGTGGCCTCTCCGCCCCGCAGGGCGGAACGGCGCGGCGGCGGCAGTACCGGCCGAGCCTGGCCGGCCACCGCGCTCCCCGGCGGCGGGTGGTGCCTGCGGGCGGTGCGGAGCCTGGCCGGGCGGAGCCAGTGGTGCGGAAGGCGGAGCAGGTCGGAGAGCTGCGGGAGGGCGGCAGGTAACGGAGCGGTGAGGGGAAGAGAAGGGGCCACTGTGAGGATCAGGCGGTTTTGATAGCGGAGCGATCTGTAGAGCGGCGAGTGCAGCAGAGGGATGGGTCTGCCGGCAGGCGAGGGGAAGGGGCGAGGAACAGGGACCCTTCTCGCTGCCCCTCCCCGCGAAGGGCGGCAGAACATAGACGAGAAGCCACGTCTCCCCGAGGCTGGCGGTCCCCCGGCCCGCAACGCCTGCCTCGGTCGAGGGAGGCAGCAGGCGACAGCCCGCGGTGCGGAGACCCCAGCCGCGTCCGCCAGAGCCCGGGACCGGGCGGGGGCACCGCGAGCCTCTCCGCTCCGGGAGGTGCCACAGGAGTAAGCGGAGGCAGGAATTCCTCACGACAATAGAGTTTTCTACGGCACGCTGTTCCTCTAAAAACGAACTATCAATCAGCGGTTTATCGCAGCGGCTTTGCCAGCTTCCTGTCGTTGGTAAAGGGTATGTACCCCTAGATACAGTTTTGAAGCAAACTAAGACCTTTTAGGTGTTTGACTTTGAAACGGGCATTGACATTGGGATTTATGACCAGGCTTTTCGAGCCACTGAAACCGAAGCAGATCACAGAAGTGAGGCACCTGAAGCTTATATAAATCTTTCTAGACAGCTCCTAGATCTTTAAGGACCTAAATAGCTTTTAAACCTAATGGCTGTGTCAATTTTTAAAATACTCTTTTAAAATACTGGCTTGAAAATACTTTTGGTTTTAGATGTCATAACATGGCTTCTAATCTAATATACTAGTATAATATATAAATATATATATACACTCACACCTGTATACACCACAGCCTTACTTACTTAACACCCGTACAGCCCAGGGTTCCCTGGGCTAATCCAATTGTGAAATCAGAACAGATTAAGCGCTTTGGTAATAAATAAAGTCTCACAGCATCACTACACCCCTATTTCATAGGAAAAGAAATGTGAGCACAGACCAGTTATTGATGTGCCCTAATTCACATAGTACTTAGATAATGGAAGTAGGAAACAAAATGCAAGTCTCCCCTATTCCAGATTTATAATTTGACGAGTTTATCCAGTATTCCCAGGTGGTAAATGAAAAAAAAATATTATTTTTTTAAAGTTAAGATAACTGTCTGGATTATCAGATTAATAGTGGAAGAAAAAATAACTATATAAAATTCTCAAAATCTCAGTCTTTCTCTGCTTTGAATGCAGTATTAAAGCTGGATATTAGTTTGTAACAATGGTGATTTTGGTTTTTTGTCAGTACTTAGATCAGACCCTTAAAATGCATAGAAGTTGATTTATTGGGGAAGAGGAATTTAATACCTGTAGGTACAGAATTTGACCACAAACTTGCCTGTACCAATATTTAATAATAAGGAAAGATGAGATATATGCAGAAATGCAAGAACTAATTTTAGCTAAGTGAATTATACACAACTCCAAACTTAACTATAATAATTTTAACTAATCAGAGAAGAGAGTTCCTCCTCAGTATTCTAGGTTCTGCACACAAACTCCTGTTATCTCTGAAATCTGGACTTAATCATAATTCCAGAGCCCTCAGTTTTTAAAGCCAAACCTCTAGTGGGATTCTGCTTCTGGTTTAGTGTCATGTCACAACTGGCTTAATTTTCTACCTGGGGATTTGCAATGTGTAAGAAAATTGCCAGTGGTGAAAAGCAAGACTGCAGATCTTTGTCACTTTGTTTTCTTTTTCCTACTGCCTGGAAAAAAATAAGAGCTTAGCCAAAGTGCTACTACACTTCATATAAACTGCCAAAACACCACCTGTAATCTGGGGGCAGCAAGGCATGTATTTAGGGTAGTCACTGAACTGCTCTAATTTATGCCATAAATTGAAATACTAGAAGGCACTCAAGTTTTATTATATCATCCCGGACTTACAGATAAGTGACAGTATTGTTCTACTCTGGCCTCTATGACAGACCAACTCTGCCAACATTGTCTTACACAAACAGATGAGGGGTGCTATGCTGCCTACAGTTGCTAAAAGGTACTAAAGCTAAAAGCCACTAAGACAGAAGTTTATGTCATTTTCCATCTTGGGAAAAGCACTGTTGCTTGTACTTGACCATCATCAATCAGTGATGTACTTCGTGGCAAAACACTGTATATCTGGCATGACTTGAGTAGCTTGTTTGGAGAGTATTTTTTAAGAAGACGTCAATTTTTAATGAGCTTTGGGCACCTCTTGTCAGCCATTAGATTAATTTGGTGGAAAGTAGTGTAGCTCAGAGTGGTCCAACCTCAGCTACAGCAGCAGCCAGGCTCAGCTTTGGGAACATTTGCCCATTTTTCACCTGTACATATAAAAGCAACCATCCTCTGACCTGCTCAACTTTCCCCTTCCTGCCTGCCCCCAGTACACACAGCAGTCACTCCCTCTGTGCTGCACAGCCACAGCTGGCTACTCTTACCCCATTCCTGCTCTTTCCTCTGCACCTCAGGAAAGGAAAGTTCCATTTCGTCCCCTTCCTTCCAGCAGGATCTTACCTGCGCTCCGCAAGTGGTGGTCTTCACTAAACAAATTGAAATTAAAACACAATCTTCACAGGATTTGTAATTAAAAAAAATAGTCGTACAGTTTGGTACAGCTGTTCACTATGTGCACTACTCAGTGCTGTCATGGCATAGTTAACTGAAAACAAAATACAGAAAAGAAATAAAATGCATCTCAAAACTCCTTGATAGTACTCCTGGTTGTTGATGCTTAGGAAATGCTTACATTCTGTGTGGTCTTGAATGACTGGAAGAATGACTGACTAACAGATTTCTTGACTAGTTTGGCACAAGGTCACCAGGTATAAGGTAAACACCAAAAAAAATAATTATGAAGTGTAGAAAGATGGTCAGTAAATCCTAGCTATACAATAAACAGCATGAAAAGACACTAAGATAATGATTAGTTTTGTTAACTGGGCTTCGAAGATACGGATCAGGGTCTTTAACAAGAAGTCAAAGGAGCAAAGACATTATAAAAGTGACATGCAAAGAAAGTCAGCATTGCAGTAGTGTATTGAATAAACCAGAGAAAATTGAAAGCCTCACAACAAAATTAAAAGAGGTAGAACAATGGTTTGAGCAAGGCAAACATCTGTCCCATGCTGTAGCTTTAATGGGTCAAATGTAAAAAATAGGTGTTTGTAATAGCTACTGTATCAGTTTTATGAAGTAAAACTGCATTATGACATTAGTTGTCTTCAAATCATTGCCTTTTTGAACGAGGAAGTGTTCCATGAAATTCTTTTTTATGTTGCTTAGAATACTCCCTTTTTGATTCTGCATATTTAGGCGTAAGTGTGTATCTGCAAGAAGCAGATTTCAAAACGCCCTGATAGTGGGGTTAGCACCGGAGAAAATCCCTAGACAAAACTGACAGACCAAGCAAAGACAAGGCTCTCCAAATAATGCAGTTACAGTACTGGCAACAACAGCGCTCTGCTTCCTTTTCTGCATAGTAAATGTGCATTAAGCCTGACCTGGAAGAACCACTTCATTGGATGAATAAGTCTCCATGCTTACTCAGTTCTTGCCCTCCCTGTTGAGACTGCCAACATCATTGCTAATTAGTGCCAATCCTGAATGCAAATTGTAATACGAATAGGTCTTTCAATTTTTAATTCCAGACTTACGCACTGGTGGTGTATTAATGTTTCATTAGCACACTCCCTTCTGTAAGAGGAGGTTCATTCACTTTTATTTCTGCCTTACCTCTGGGAAAAAAAAAGCTGTCTGCCTGAAGTACTAGAATATGGGCAAACAGGAGCTTGTACTTCTGAGTGCTCCTGTCAGCTCTAGCAGCAAACTTTGGTATCAAGACTTTTCGGGAACCTGGACTTACTGAAAATATATATGACTACCATTAAGACCACCTTTAATTTTTATGTGATGTGCTTTATCTTTACATATTTGCTCTCAAGCAATGTCCAAGATCAGGAATTCAAAAGCTTTCTTTGGTGGGGTACAACCCATTGGTGTTAGTGGCAGGAATACCCAATAATGCCAACTTCAGTGGTAGGTTGGATGCAAGTAAAAAAATGCATTGGGGCAACTGTCATCTGTAGGCTGGGCGTATACCTCCAAACATAAAGCATGGTTTGAAGGTCCTTTCTTCTTACCTCTGAGGGTCTCCTTAGACCTTAGGATGGGATGAATTTCCCATGTCAGAGTAAGCAGAAGCCACTTCATTCCTTCATTCCAAAAGAACCAATTCTGAGACTCTCACCATTAAAGAGCTTTTTTTACAATGAATGTAAAGCAGAGTGTACTTTTCATGGCACTTTGCAGAGCATGAAGCAAGGGCATGAACATGCTGATTAGCTTCAGAACAACTCAAAAGGCATTAACAGGCTAGTCATGTTACATTATAATCCTAGCAATAGCAGGTATATGCTTTCACAGAAATGTCCTGCTCAAGTCAGTTGAACATGTAATAAACCTGAGAAAAATATAACATATAGTCTACTGATTATGTTACCAGATGTAAGAAATACAGCTAGCATAGGCCTCCACCTGCTGCAGGTGCTTTTATCAAGTCCAAGTAGTGCCATGATCTTGTCAGGTAGAGATGATGTGATCAGGGCTAAACAGCATAATTGCTAGAGATACTTTTCCTGATTACTGACACTTGAGGAGCTGCATGAACACTGCACAGGTAACTGTCAGGAGACCTGCACAAAATCACTCTTAGATAAAACCTCTGACAAATGTTTGTACTTTGACATTTACATTTCTGATACATTCTACCCAACACATCAGGCCTTTATGTATCGGAGCATCAGGAGGTTTTACAGGAAGAGAGGGAAGCATAACCCACTGATCCCCTTTTCAGGTGTCCCTAAAGGTATTGCTGTAGTTTTATACTCAGTTTCAGGCTGA